GGCTTAGGGGAACTTATGCGGTGCTGGGGATCAAATCTGGGTCAGCCACATGCAAGGCAAATGCTTTACCCACTGTACCATCTTTCCAGTTCCTCCTTTCTGATATTTCTAAAATAAAACTATTCCCCCCACCCCAAAGAGCTGTGACAATGACAAAAAGTCATGCATTCTATTTCTATTCTTTACTGGTTTCTTTTCATCTTCCTTCCTTCCTTCCTTCCTTCCTTCCTTCCTTCCTTCCTTCTTCTTTCTTCCTTCCCTCTTTTTCTTTTCTTTCTCTCTCTCTCTTTCTTTCTTTCTTTCTTCCTTTCCTTCTTTCTTTCTCTCTTTCCTTCTCTTTTTCTTTCTTTCTTTTTCTCTTTCTCCTTCCTTTTCCCTTTCTTTCTCTCTTTTTCTTTTTTTCTCTTTTCTTTTCTCTTTCCTTCTTTCTCTTTCTTTCTCTTTCCTTTTCTCTTTCCTTCCTTCTCTCTCTTTCTTTCTTTCTTTCTTTTCTCTTTTCTCCTCTCTTTCCTTCTTTCTCTCTCTTTCTCTTTCCTTTTCTCTTTCCTTCTTTCTCTCCCTCTCTTTCTTTCTTTCTTTCTTTCTTTCTTTCTTTCTTTCTTTCTTTCTTTCTCTCTCTCTCTTTTCCTTTAAAGGAAACTTTTGCTAGGGAATAAGAGAAATATTATTCCCTCCCCCTCCTTGTCTTCCTTCATCATTGTTGTAATGACCCAGGGGTCATGCACATGCCTGTCTGCAGTGTTCACACATGCAGCTGCTAACCTCACCCCAACCTAGTTGCACTGTTTGTGCACATGCTCGCCAGGGATCTCACTCACTCAGAGAGCAGTGCTCCAGCACATTCTGGTCTCATGCTCCCTAAGGCTCATGGTGGAGTTCATATAGATGCACCCCAGATGTCACATGCTGGCCATGGGACTTGCACATCTTCAGTTGTGGTGTTCAGCAGGAGTCCCACACTTAATTGCAATGCTGGAGATTTGTCTTGATGCCCTGGGTCACTGGTACAAGAGATGCTGGGACCACACTCGGAGCACGTAGGCAGCAATGGGACCACACTCGGAGCATGCGGGCAGCCTTGTGCCTATGAGGCAGGTGCTTTAAGCCAGTGGGCCATTCCTGAACCCCTTCCAGTTTTCTTTAACAATTATTTTTTGGGGTTGGAAAAAAGTTGGAGCAAAGGGCACTTGCCTTGCACATGACCAACCCGGGTTTGAACCCAGCACTCCATATGCTCCCCTGAGCCTACCAGGAATGACCCCTGACCACCACCAGGTATGGCCCCCAAACAAAACTGCAACAACAACAACAACAAAAATCCCCATTTTTTTGTTGCTTTTTTGGGTCACACCCAGTGATGCTCTGGGCTTACTCCTGACTATGCACTCAGGAGTTACTCCTGGCACTGCTTGGGGACCATAAGGGATGCCTAGGATTGAACTGGGGTCAACCGCGTGCAAGGCAAACGCCCTATCTGCTGTACTATCACTCCAGCCCCCAAAACTCCAATATTTTTGAACAGGTAACATAAAGACAACCCACAGAATTCTAGAGATTAAAAAAAAAAGCAGAAAATCAAAGACAAATATCCCTTTTCTTGTCCCTCCAATTGCCCACTTTCTTTCCCTAGAGTAACCACCGTGGTTTCTTCTGCCTGAGATGTCGGCAGACATTTGTTCTTTTTCTTTCCATGCTAAGGGGACCATGATAATAACTATGGTTAGGTAGAAAAATTAACTCTGTAATAGTGGAGGATGAGACAGTCATGTATGATGTATGAAGATGTAGAGTGGTCGGATTCAAAGGGACAGAACCTGGGGGGATCGAGTGGCCAGGCCTCATGGGTTGTGGGGACAGGCAGGGAGCAGTGTCTCCTGGTGCAGGGTGCCGTTTGGGGAAGGTGGGAAATATTCTGCAGGTGGGAGATAATGTTGGCTGTACAACACCGGGATGTACTTAATGCCATTGGATCACGATCACGACCATCCTGTTGTTCGTCGATTGCCTCGAGCAGGCCCCAGTAACGTCTCCTTCATCCTAGCCCTGATTTTTTTTTTAAAAAAGTACCATATTCAAGCCTCTTTCAGGGTTAGGAGAATGAGACCCATCATTGTTACTGGTATTTGGCATATTGGTTACACCACGGGGAGTGTGCCAGACTCTGCCGTGTGGGCAAGTTACATTCAGTAGCCTGCCAGTTTGTCCAAAGTAAGAATGAGATAATAAGATAATAAGGTACCTGCAGAGGAACAAAGGCATGCGGGTCCCGGGGCTGAGATCTCCAAGCCTACTTGGATCAGGGCTGAGCATCCTCCACCCAAATCCTCCATTTTTCAGTAGGCAGGGGTCACACCCACCAACTGGCCCCCTAGCACTGTGTAATCCCACCAATGGCCAAGACCCAGAGACTATAAAACCCAGAGCCCGGAAGAGAACAGCACCGAGTCTCCTGTCCCCGTGCCTGGCTGTCCTCGCTGGGGCTCCTTGGAGGGGAGCAGGTTGAGTTTCCCTCCCTGCCCCGACCAGGGCTCTGGCAAACGAAGACCTCCAGAACCAGCCACCACCATGCCATTGGATCATCATTTAAAAATACTGCACACAAAAACTTTACCATACAGAATTGACCACAATACATCATATATGATATATGATATATATCACAATACATCATATCATACAGAATTGACCACAATCGCTTAAAAGTCCCCACTACTTAAAGGGTACAATTATCCTACTAATCATTGATAGCATATTTACTCAGGGTTTCTATCAGGAAGAATAAGGTTATTCTCTGCGCAGAAATGAAAAGATGCACTGAATTTATCACCTTCGTAAAGGGACAGAACAGTGTGAATAGAAGTTTGGAAATGGGCACATGGGATAGAGCAAAGGGGGCTCCACAGCCAAATGACTTCAGGTTCAACCCCAGTGCTGCTGTGTGACTTTGAATAAGTCACCCAACCCCTCTGTGTCTCAGTTTCTCACCTCTGTAAAGTGGGGGATATGCTAGTCCTCTCCTTGCTGGGCTATTGAGATCAAGTTAATGGTATGAAACATTGACCAAAGTGAGGACACAGAGACCTTGTTTTCTAAATCTGATAAATGAACAGTGAGGGGATGAGCAAATCTGGTTAGGGGTCATGCGTGGTAACACTGCCTTCGAAACCTCAGACAGGAGCATGTGGTCAAATGTATCTGAAATGACTCAGTAAGAAGAAGAATAGTGACTCCCTACTTAAAGTACAAGAATTATGGTCTGAGGGATTTGGCTAAGACGTGAACTTCAGTATAGTGACTATATGACTAACACCTACTCTTCCAGTCCAGGAGACTTCTGAGGTTCATTTTATGTTTGTTTATTTGTTTTGCCACACCCAGTGATGCTCAGGGGTTACTCCTGGCCTTGTACTCAGCAGTTACTCCTGGCAGTGCTCGGGGGACCATATGGGATGCCAGGATCAAACCCTTTTCTGCTGTGTGCAAGGCCAGCATCCCCCCTGGTGTCCTATCGCTCCGGCCCCATATGCTTGAGATGGCAGCATTGTCAGTGAATGAGGCATAAAGAAACAACTCTTTCATAAAACCTAACTATTAACTGTTGCCTCTGTCTGCCTTTCCCCTTACCCTCTTTTTGCTCTATTTCAAATACACTGATCTTTGGTTTGTTTCCGCTGTACTTTTTCAATCACCATGATTTTTAATTCTTAAAGGTCTATTTTGATCAGATTTTAACCTTAAATGGCATGAGTCTTTTAATTAATGGTGGTCTTAGCATGAGGTTGAGGATTTCTTAGCGTGCAATTGTGCATCTCTGGGTAAATGATGTCTTAGGTTCAGTGGAATACAGTATTCCTAGCATTTGAAGGAGCTGACAGTTCCTCTTGCTCAAGCCTAGCCCCCTTGCTATGCTGCGAACACCCACAGCACTCATTTGGAAGCAACTCTTCTCCCTGGTAGCTTTTCCTGGCAACGGCGGGAATAATGGCAATGTCTACTCCAGTGAAAGCTCTTGCTGTGGGGCCAGAATGCTCCAGGCACTTCTGTGTGAATCAGTGACTACTGCCCCCAGGTGACAAAGCTGTGGCATCGTGTTAGAGGCGCAGTTATTATCTCCACTCTACAGCTGCCAAAACTGCAGAATTGAAACTCAGACCTACAGTGGCCAATCCAAGAATCCCGGGGTGGTCTGTGTAGCCGTTTAAAAGAAAAACCCTGTTAACAATCGCCTCTAAGAGGTCTGGAAAACAAGTGTCTTTATTTAAACCATGAGTTCTTATCTGTTGCATCTTAGAATAGACTGGAGTGGGGCTGGGGGGCAGATGGGTAGTGTAGCAAATAGGGTGTTTGTTTTGCAGGCAGCTGACCTGGGTTCACCCCCTGGCATCCTAATAGTCTTTCAAGCACCACTAGGCGTGAACCCTGAGTGCAGAGCCAGAAGTAAGCTCTGAGCACTTCCAAGTGTGACACCCAAACCAACAAGCAAACAAACCAAAGAATCTTCTAGAAACTCAAAAAAAAAAAAAGCCACAAGCCCTTTTCAAGTGTGTGGCAGCAATTGAGTAGACGTGGTTGGAGGGATCTGAGTGGAGGCCAGGGAGAAAGCCTGGGACCTGGGTTAGGTCCCTGAGCACTGCCAGGAACAGCACACAAACAGGAAGTCAGGTGCATCCCTAAGCGTAGCTGGGTATGCCCCCCAAACAACCAATGAAAGATCTATGAGATCCTCTGTTCTGGGGAGTCCCCTGATGTCACAAGCTTGGATGATAAGGACAGTGACTCTCTCTTGAGTCCTCGGGAGTTGGAATCCTTGGTTAGAAAATGTGGCTTTGCTAGGGTCAGGGATGAAGCTGAAGCGGTATCTCACACACAAACCATGCACGAGGCCCTGGGTGTCATGCCCGGGACTGCAGGTCCCCAGAGCAACACCCCCGATAGAAAAGGGAAAGAAAGTGACTTTGAAAACTTGCTTTTCATACGGGCTCTTTCTCCCTCTCTTCCAGCTCTGGAGTGCACAGAAAATCAAGCAGGTAATCCGGTGTGGATTCTTTTCCTTCCACTCTCCCTGCACTGCCGGGCCTCTCACTGCCCTGTCCTTCCACCAGCCTCCCACCTCCCGTGCACCCCTGACTGCCCCAGCACCTAGGTCTGCCCTCCTGAAGACTGATGCTTGGGCTCCCCTTTCCCTGGGTCTTTCTCTGAGCCCGCCCCCTTTGCTGCTTCTACTGAGTCCTGGTTAAATGCCTCCTTCCCAGGCACGGGGTCAAAGGGGAACAGACACAGCCTTGTTCTCCTATGCATTTCTGTTTGCTTTTGTCCTGAGTGGTGGCAAAGGCCTGAGCCATCCAGGCTAGACACAGGGTTGTTCAGGGGAGGGTCCTTGGGGTGGTTCCTCTGCCCTCCCCTGCCCTCCCCTGCCCTCCCCTTTCCTCCTCTCCCTGGCCCTCACCCCGTCTTTGCTCCCACTCTTGCCAGGCTATCCTACACCCCGACACCAACGAGAAGATCTTCATGCCATTCCGAATGTCAGGTAAGCCCAGGTTCTGGTTCTGTCCAGCCTCTGCCACAGTCAGGGACATTGGTGTCCACCTGAGGGACTTGTCACACACATGGACATGTTAGCGCTGACTTGTCCACCTCAGCTTAACCCGACAAGATTGGCCCAGCCCTGGAATCACTTACGGGCCTTTTTTTGGGGAAAAAAATGTGCCTGTCCACCTCTCTGCCTGAGCAGTTGGCACACAGTAGGAGCTGCACAGGGAGCCAGGCGCCCTGCTCCACGGCTACAGTGTCCTTACTGAGCAGCAGGTTCGGGGGCGAGGAAGGGGGCCCCTGCTATGGCCAGCACTCCTCCTTCCACCCCTGCATCTGCTCTTCCCTGCCCCCTGCGTCCTACTTAATCCCTGAGCTCTCTCTCCTATGGGATATGCAACACAGCTATGCACTGTATCCACATAACTGCACACCCAAGAGAGCAAGAGGCAGGCAGGGGACCAGGGAGGAGGGTCTGGGACCCTGCCCACGTCCAGGAAGCCCCCACCCAGAGTCCCCAGAAGGACAGTCTGTCTCACTGATCTTACCTGCTTAGAAAGCATGAGAAGTCAGTGCACCTCCCCGCCTGGGGCGTGTGTGACTTATTCAAAGTCACACAGCAGACCAAGAAATAATTGGTTCACTTATTCTGTTCTTGTAACTTCATGATTTACAATCTTTTGCCAGGCTCCTGGAATGGGTCCCTCAGGGGTCCTGCTTCTAATTCCCATTTTAGAGGGACCCGCCCTCAGCTGGGTGGGAAATTTCCTTTCCAGAGAGATCATGAAGTTGAGTTGCATGAGCCATTTTAAGGCTTTGGAAGACAGTGAGTGTGTGTGTGTGTCGGCGGGGGGGGGGGTTTGGGGGGGGGGGAGGGTGGAGGGAGGGTGAGTGGTTAAAGGACTACCAAGAGAGTTGGAGCGGGGGGCAGCCAGCAGTGGGCAGCATTTCCTGCAGGAATGGGCTCTCCAGATTCCAGAATCCAAGGGAAGTAAGACCTGTCTGAATGGGGGACAGAGAGTGAAGTCTGGGAGGGCGGAGTTGGGAAAAGTTTTGGAGGCCGGATATTGCTTCCTATGTCACTGCTCTGAGCAACTTTATCTCGGCCATTGGCAAGAGCAAGTCCAGAAGGTTCTTCCAAAGGTCTCAGTCAAGAGGCCTTTGGTGGGGAATGGAGTGGGCGGTGAGACCTGACTGTCCTCTGCCCTCTCACAGGTTACATTCCGTTTGGGACACCAATTGTAAGTATTTCCTTCCAGGAATATTCTTTTCTGAAACAATGTGTTTAATGTTTAAATTTATATCCTTGTCGATAAATAATTGAAATTTGATTGAGGATAAAATTCTTTTAATTCCTTTGATGTGTGTTGTCAAACTAATTTCCATAGTAGGTCTGCTGTCCACCCACCAAGGAGCCTCCAAGTACCCTCATCCTGCGCATTCTCCTAAGCACTGGCAGTGGCACATGCTGGTGATTGGGAAGTTTCCACCCCACACCTCAAGAAGGCAAAAAAGTAAAGACACTGGGGCCAAAAAGATAGCACAGGGGAGAGGGTGTTTGCCTCACACATGGCCATCTGGGTTTAATCCCCAGCATCCCATATGGTCCCCCTGGCCCCTAGCACCACTAGGAATAATCCCTAAGCACATCCAGGAGTAAGTCCTGAGCACTGCTGGGTGTCCCCCCACTGAAAAAAAAACATAAAAATGAAAACATCTTCTGAGAACTAGGGTTCAAAATTAGTTCAGAGGGGCCAGAGAAATAGTATAGGAAGCAGGGCTCTTGCCTTGCATGCAGCTGACCTGGGTTCAATTTCTGGAGCCACATAGGGTCCCCCTAGTACCACCAGGAGTGATCTCTGAGTGCAGAGCCAGGGTAAACTCTGAGCACCACTGGGTGTGGCCCCAAAACAAACAAACAGAAAAAGAAAATGAGTTCAGGAAGGAGTAAGTATTTTTTGTTCTATTTTATGCTCCAGGGCTGGAGCGATATGACAGCGGGTAGGGCATTTGCCTTGCACGCCACCCACCCAGGGTCGATTCCTCCATCCCTCTTGGAGAGCCTGGCAAGCTACCAAGAGTATCCTGCCTGCACGGCAGAGCCTGGCAATCTCCCCGTGGCATATTAGGTATGCCAAAAACAGTAACAACAAGTCTCACAATGGAGATGTTACTGATGCCCGCTGGAGCAAATCGATGAACAACGGGAGGACAGTGCTACAGTGCTATTTTATGCTCCAACTTGTGGGGTAAGAAATGGGGCCCCACTGCCCTTGATTCTTAGCCACCTGGGCCGGGCATTCAGGGCTGAGGCCCAGCAGTGCTGGACACCACCAGGGCCACCACAGCAGTGCTTGAGACCTCAGGTCTACACCTAGGGATCAGGGGACCATGTGGTACATGCGTGCACCCCAACCTGTAGAAAACTCCAGGATTCACTTTCTTTTTGTCCCATTTTGGAAAAACAAAGCTAAGTTTACTTTTCTGTACTTATATTAGAGTGAAGCAAAAGTATAAAAAAGTAAATTCATGATAGGCATGCAGCTTGCTTACGTCCATAACATGAGTAGTCTAAGTCAGTATCACTTTCAGCAGGACCAAGGATGTCATCAGCATGGGGGAACCTCCCAAGTGCCACTCATACTCACTCTCTTGTGGGGAAGGCAGGGAACAACCTCCCTGACTCCCTTTGCTTGCTCTCATGCCTGGTTAAGAACTTTAGACAAATGCAATCCTCAGTAGATACTTTTTGTTTTATTCTTTTTGTGTTGTTGTTGGCTGTGGTGGTGGTGGTGGTGGTGGTGGTGGTGTGTGTGTGTGTGTGTGTGTGTGTGTGTGTGTGTGTGTTTGGCTTTGGTTTCTTGCAGAGGGCAGGGGGTTGGGGAATCACCCGACTGAGCTGAGATCACTCCTGGAAGTGCTCAGGGGACCATATGGGGTGCTGGGAATTGAACCCCTGTATAAGGGACATACAGGCAAGCACCTTATCCTCTATACTATCTCTTCAGCCCCTCAGTAGATACTTTTTTGGGTCTGACTTTTTTATTTTCACTCAAAACTGTTTATGAGACTCATTGTTATACATGGCACTGATTTGTTCTTTTTTATTGCTGTATAACAGTTCATCACTATGTCTATAAAGTTTTCTTTACCCATCTTATTGTTGGTAACTTCTTTGGTTGCTGCAGGTTTGGAGTTCATAACAATGCCCCTTTAAACATGACTATATGTATCCTGACATTTTCTCTTCTCTTGGATTATTTCTAGAAGGTGAAACTGAACTAGGGCTAGAGAGATAGCCCAAAGGACTGATCCTTGGCATGGGTGTCACATTGTCCCTTCATCACAGCAGAGATTGACCCGAGTGCTGAACCTGGGAGTAGCCTATTAACACCACGAGGTGTGTCCCCTCTCCCCCCAAAAAAACCAACAAGAAATATATAATAAATAAATGTAAGCTGAGGTTCTAAAATTGGAATCCGAGGAGAGCTTAGTCCCTTATAAAGTTCAACATGCACTTGCTATATAAGCCAGCAATCCTATTTTCCTACCCAAGAGAAATGAATACATATATGTGTACAAATATCTGTGCATTAGGGTTTTTAGTAGTTTTTAAAAAATATAAACTTAAAACAGGAAATAGACCACAATGGTATATTAAATAGGTCATTTTATTTATTTGTCTTATTATGTTTTGGGGCCATACCTGGCGATGCTCAGTCCCTGGCTCTGCACTCAGGAATTACTCCTCGAGGGACTATACGGGATGCTGGGGATTGAACCCCGGTCAGCCGTGTGCAAGGCAAAATCCCTACCCACTGTACTATTACTCTGGCCCCTAAGTAGGTCATTTAATAATTAAATTGTTCATTTATATTAGAAGCTATTAAAAGTAGTGCATAAAATCTGGAAATAACATAGTCACCTAACTGAGGTAGTTATATCAAAGTTTCCTATATATCTTATAATTCCTTCTATTTTTTCTTCCATGTCTTTTAGTTGGTACCCTCCTATAAATAATAGTTTTCCCTTCTACCCTTCCATATAACATTTCTTAAAATTATCAGTTTGGGGGCTGGAGTGATAGCACAGCGGGTAGGGCCTTTGCCTTGCACGCAGCCAACATGGCCAACACAGGTTCAATTCCCAGCATCCCATATGGTCCTCCGAGCGCTGCCAGGAGCAATTCCTGAGTGCATGAGCCAGGAGTAACCCCTGAGCGTCGCTGGGTGTGACCCAAAAAGCAAAAAAAAAAAAAATATATCAGTTTGGTCTTATTTAAAAAAATTCAATGGATAATAATTTACTTCTGTCATTATTTGTTTTGACATGCAAATTATACCAAATTTGCCTAATAGGAACCCCTAAAGTAGTTTCTCTGTTTGACAAGTTTTCCTTGTTGTTTGATTACTTCAATACTTGTGGAACATAATGTATAATACATAATTCTAGCCTGCTGGGGCCAGACTGATAGTATAGTGGATAGGGCACTTGCCTTGCATGTGACCAATGCAGGTTCAATCCCCAGAACCCCATAAGGTCCCCCAAATTCTGCAAGGAGTGATCCCTGAACACAGAATCCAAGGTAAGCCCTGAGCACCACTGGATGTGGTTCCAAAACAAAAATAAATAACCAGTGGAAAATTTGAAACTATTTCTTGAAAAGTTTAGCTTACAAGAAACAGTCTAACAATATGAGTGTAAATTTGAATAGATTTAGAAATAGAAATCGATTGCTTAAATCCATTAACTAGTTGAAGGATAAATGTGATTGACAATCTCAGGTATAGAAATATCATTTCATAAAATAAAACATGACCATTTACAAAGAAAAGAGGGAATTTTAGGGACTTTGTTAACTTGTTAATTTATCATAATAATTAAGTCCCAGGTTAAGGAGATAGCATTGCTGCCAAGACACATATTTTGCATGCCGGGGCCTGGGTTCAGTCCCCAGCACTGCATGGCCCCTGGACACTGCCAGGGGTAGCCCTGGTGGTCCACAGCACCCACTCAGACCCTAAAATTGAGCTCTCAACCCAATTTTCCAGGGGTTGCTGGGAGTGGCCCTGGGGCCCCTGAGCTCTTGGGAAGCATTCCCAACTGCCTCCCATCCCCCACAAATAATACAATACTGTTTTGATAGATGAACCCGATAAAGGTACGTTCTTAATGTTTGGGTAAGGGTGACAGTGCCTGATAATACTGCTTTTATTCTATTTTTTTTTGGGGGGGGGAGACTAACAAGTCAAATAAGACTTAAAAAATAGGCAAAACTTGGGGCCAGAAGATAGTACAGTGGGTAGGGCGCTTGCCTTGCACTTGGCCGACCTGGGTTCAATATCCAGTAGTCCAAATTGTTCCCTGAGCTCTTAAAAAGCTGGTAAAAAAATCTCTAGAACATGATTTTTTTTTCAAAGTAGTATTTATTATCAGGTTTGAAACTTTTAAGTTTAAAAATATTGTGAGACCATTATGGAAAAACGTACAAAATTTTAACACTAGACATTGGAGATCTAAGTAAGTGGAGAGATATGTCACCTTGGTTAAGATGCTTGCATGTTATCCTCCAGATAGCAAATTTCTTTGTTAAATTCTGTTTTCAGGGTCCAGAGAGATAGTTCAGTGGGTTATGGTCTTGCCCTGCATGTGTCTGTCCCAAGCTCAATCCGTGGTACCATGTATGGTCTCCTGAACCCACCAGGAATAAGCACTGAGCACAACAGGGTGCTTTTTAGATTTTATTTGTTTGTTTCAGCATGATCCAGTGGTGGTTTGTTGGTTCATGTTTTTAAACTTTGCTGTTGTTCCCATTTCTTTCTTTCTTTGTACTGGAGTGTTGTTTTCCATTTTTTGTTTGTTTGTTTGATTGTTTCTGCAATGCTGGGGATTGAAGCCATGCCTCATGCAGGCAAGGCATGCACTTGCCTGTTGTATCATACCCCAGCCCACTGTCCTTTCTAAAGTTTAGAAGAGGAGTATTATAGCTCTCTGTGTGTATGTGTGTGTGTGTGCGCGCGCGTGTGTGTGTGTGTGTGTGTGTGTGTGTGCGCGCGCGCGTGTCTGTCTGTCTCATTTTTCTGGAACATTTAACAGAAAGGTCCCTTTTCATTTACCCTGTCAATAATAACAGTAGAATAGTAAGTCTGACCTCCTACCCTACTATCCAAATCAGAAGAGACGTTTAGCAAAGCACAGTACTCTTTCCCATGTTACCCATAAAAACCTGTCAAGATATTGG